GTAGAAGGGGTTTGTGCAGAAGCCGTTCGTCTTCCAGTTGGCGCAGCTGAAAAAGGGAAGTAATATAAAGACATTTTGGCGTAAGCTACTAGATTTTTGTGCAAAGTTCAAGCTTACTTGGTGCTGTTGTCGCGGCAGACGACCGGGGTAGACTTGGGCTAAAATGGTGATTTACCGGGGTAACTTTTAAACTATGAAGGAGCACTGAAATCTGGGGAAAGATTCTCCAAATCTTACCCCGAAGCACTGCTGCTCGCCGTCAGTTGTGGTGTAGCACGTTTGTCCAGCCGGGCAGTTACCGTCAGTGGAAGCTAATAAGTCTATAGAAATCCTCTAAAAATGCCCTACGTCCTCCAGCGACGACGTTGGAGCCGGCGGGCGGGCCGGCTGGGCAGTCCGCGGCGATGGCCTGAAATTAGATTTAGGCTTAAGCTTAGGCTTAGGCTTGGATTAGGCTTGGCTTAGGCTTAGACATAGGTTTCGACCTAGGCTTAGGCTTAGGCTCAGGCTTGGGTTCAGGTTCGACATAGGCTTAAACTTGACGCTAGGCTTAGGTTTGTCTTAAGCTTAAGCTTTGTTAAGACTTAGGCTTAAGCTTAGGCTTAGGCTTCGGCGGAGGCCTAGGCTTAGGCTTAGGCTTGGATTTCAGCTACGGCCTAGGATTAGGCTTAGCTTAAGCCATAAGCCATTCAGGTCTTCCGAAGCACTACCTGGTGACAGGCGAAGCCAAGAAGAGCAAGGAAGACAGCGGTAGAAGTCTGCATTTTGGAGGTAGACCGGATGAATTGGATATCAAGTGTTAATCCTCACACCTATTTATACAATCCGAAAAGCATACCAGGCCCACGCTGACCTTCAGCATGTTTGCCTCCGTCCCATAGCGGTGCCGCCCTCAAACGCTGCGGAATTTGCAAAATTGCCGGATTGGCCTTTCGAAGTGATCTGCTCTTTCACGCCCCGGCCCACGTCGAATTTTTGAAGCTGCTGTGCAAATGGTGGGTGCGCGGGGGCTAAGGCGCACTTTGCGGTGTTGAAAGGGATTGCCGAGATCGAGACTGACTGGCGTGGGCGGAATACGGTAATATGGCATTAGGCGCGTTTCCGAGCGAGAACTTTGCAGTGTGGCTGTTGAAGGGGAGAATGAGATTGTCGCATTAATGGATGATAACTGATAGCTGAGGTGCTATTCAGCAGGTTGAAGGGAAGCTAGTACAGACCTTTGAGGAATTCGGAGAATCCTAATAAGTTCATAAAGGAGACTAATTGTGAGCACTGGTGCGTCTAAATTAAGGTTGTTCAAAAATTAACTTAACTGCCGTTCAAAAAAGTTAAATGAGGCCTTAAAAATACTAATCTGGCTCAGATAACGATATTTTAACTGACTTTAACTAGATGATTTATGGTTGTGCCGCGCTTTTGCCTTGGAAAACGCTGGGCAGGTAAGGGTTCGAGATTTGGAGGTCCAGCTCAAAATAATTGCTGATGAATTATGACCCCAGCCCCGACCCCCAAAATCAACATTTCCGTAACTCTAAGAATCCAGACAAAAAAACGCCAGTACGTTACTTTCCACCTGCTGTTACTGCCATCCTGGGCGTGGATATGCTAAAATTCACCGCCTCAATTTGGCCACTGACCGGCCCCAGCACGCCCTGATACAGTGCAAACAGACCGTAATGTCGGTGTTGGGCGGATTTTTGCAAGCTACTACTATAAAACAAGGGTCTGGTTTCCGAAAAGTATCTAATCCTCGTCTAACACTCCACAACATGCAAGCCTGCTTCGCCCTCTTCGCACTCCTCGGCTTCATTTGCCAACAGGTAAGTTGTGCTCATGAAGCTTGGGCTTAGGTTTAGGGACGGGCTTGCACTTCGATATTTTTGCAGACGCGAAAAATAATAAATTATCGCTTTCCAGACCCTGGCAGCAACGTGCCCAACCAAGCCCGCCACGTCGTCGCTCGTCGAAATTGGACGTAAGTTAATTCCTGCGCATTTTATCAACGAGCAAAACGGGAAGCAAAAGAACAAAACCCTATTTAAATTGCTGTTGTTTTACTGTGTATCCTCTGCAAAACTGAATGTTTTAGCGGCTCCCTGTCCCGACGGACTGACCTGCTACATCGGAAAGGACGGTGATGATGCTTGCTTTGGGGTACGGTAATACAGAATCAGGGTGAGAGATAGTGAGCAGAGCGAGCGAGCGAGAGAGTGGGAGGGTGAGACAGAGAGTGAGAGAATCATAGTTTCCATAATAAATTATACTTTTCCAGCCCGCCCCGATCACCGACTGCACCGACAAGAACTCCAAGTGAGTTTTGGCTGTGTCTGAAAATGTAGCTGTTTGGTTTGACCTCCCGGATACCTTTAATAAATTTGATTTTTTTAGCTGCGCGACCTGGATCTCGAACGGCTTCTGTAAGAACCCGGCCTACACCGATGTCGTAGCCCAGTACTGCCCGAAAGGATGCAATCTCTGTACCGCTCCAGCGCCGTGCGTTGACTTGAACTCCAAGTAAGTTATCTCTCTCTCTCTCTCTCTCTCTCTCTCTCTCTCTCTCACTACCAATCCATTCCAGCTGCAAGACGTGGGTGGCCAACAACTTCTGCACCAACTCCGCCTACGCGACCGTCAAGAATGACTACTGCCCCAAGTCGTGCGGCGGATGCTAGAGAACTGACTTCTACGGATACTAATAATATAACTATTAATATTTTTCATTCATTTGTGTATTGATGGGCTTGTAATAAATGTCTTTTGAATTTGAACAAGCGGCAAAAGAAAGCAAAGGCATCGGATTTACCTACGGAAGGGTCTGAAATTCAGACAAAGATCGATAGCCCAAAATCTGCTTTAAGTGATGTGCCGAAGGAAGCGCTTTCGAAATTTCGACTTGTGAACGCTAGATGCGACAAGAAAGTTACGAGACTTTAATTATCAGTTTTCAAAGGTTGGGACCGTTGAATACGGTTCAGCCCGAACCTCTATCGCTCAGAAAAGATCCTGAAATTCGGTTTGACCAGAACAAACTAATTTATGGGCCAAAACGGTAAAATCGCATAAACTGCCCACATTTGTGAAGAAGTTTGGTGCTTCGAAGCGGGTCGGAAAGATTGGGTGCGCTAGTTTTAAGGGAAAATCAAATAACGCAACTGTGAGCGGAGATTATTTTTGGGTTACTATTGGATTTTGGAGATTATTGAGGAGCCTTATGCCGCAGATGCCTCGTTTTTCGAGGAAGCGCCATTGCCTTAATGGAAAATATTGTTGGATTGAGTTCGATATGCCGCTGACGCTTCTTAAATCCTTTGATGGTTCAAGCCGTTGCTGTGCTTAGCTTTTGCCAGCTACGAATCCCACCACAAGCTTGTTAAGAATAACAGCCATCTACACAGCCCACGCTGACTTTCCGAAAATTTACACGGAGCATCGCCGTGCCACCCATCAATGTTCTGCATTGCGCAAAAAATACGGATCTGGCCTTTCCCGGACTGGCCGTTCTTTCGCGTTCCTACCCACATCGAATTTTTGGGCTGCCTGTGCAAATGCTGAATCCGAGAGCTCAAGTGCACTTCTCCGCCTCGCACGCAATTTTGAGCTTTTTCCAGCATATTTTTCAAAATGTCATCCCAGGATGTGGATAATCTAAAGTTCACCATTTCACCTGTGCCCCTGGCCGCCCCCGGCACCCCCTGATACAACGCAAACAGCCCGTAATGTCGGCTTTGGGGGAATTTGGCGCCTGCTACTATAAAACAAGGCCATGGTTCCAGACAGTATCAAATCCCCATCTACCACTCCAAACAATCAAGCAACATGCAAGCTTACTTTGCTCTCATCGCCCTCCTCGGCTTCATCTGCCAACAGGTAAGCTGGGCTCAAGCAGCTAAAGCTTAGGGTTAGACTTGGGCTGAGCTTAGGCTTAGGCTCAGGCTTAGGCTCAGGCTTAGGCTCAGGCTTAGGCTCTTAGGCTAAAGCTTGGGCATAGCCATAGGCTTCTTAGGCTTAGTCTTAGGTTTGACTTAGGCTTACACGTAGAAAGTTTGATTTTTCAGGCCTTCGCCGCCGACTGCGCAGCAAAGCCCGCCACCTCTTCACTCGTGGAAATCGGACGTAATCATTCACATCAAATTGCCCATTTCAAAAATTTTAGCTGCCATCGACGGTGTGTGTCCCACCGGCCTTACCTGCTACATCAGGAGCGGCACAAACTACTGCTATGGGGTACGGTAGAGAGACAGGGGGAGAGTGAGAGAGGGGGAAGAGAGCGAGAGAGAGAGAAAGAGCGAGAGAGAGAAATCCAGCGAGGGAAAGGGAAAAAGAGAGAGCCAGATATAGAGGGCAGTAGAATTTTTCAATTTTCGGAAACCTTATTTTTCCAGACCGCTCCCATCACTGACTGCACCGACAAGAATTCCAAGTATGATTTTCCGTCTTAAAGCACCCGCTTTAGCTTTTGCCTTTCCGATACATTTATTAACGCCAATTTTCTAGCTGTGCCACTTGGATCTCAAACGGCTTCTGCAAGAACCCAGCCTACACCGACGTCGTAGCTCAATACTGCCCGAAGGATGCAAGCTCTGCACTGCTCCGGCACCGTGCGTTGACCTCAACACCAAGTGGGTATAACTGCTCTCTCTCTCTCTCTCTCTCTCTCTCTCTCTCTCTCTCTCTATCTCTCTCTCTCTCTCTCTCTCTCTCTCTCTCTCTCTTTCTCTATACGAATTCTTTCTAGCTGCAAGACGTGGGTGGCCAACAAATTCTGCACCAACCCCGCCTACGATACCGTCAAGAATGACTACTGCCCCAAGTCGTGCGGCGGATGCTAAGGAATCGTACCATAACGGTTTCACTAATAATAATAATTTTAATAATGTTTTGTTTAATGGCAATGTAGTTTATATGGGGTTGTAATAAATAGTTTGGGAATATCATCGAAATTACGACGAATAAAGGACAACGTCACAAACAACTATTATTTCTTTCCTCGGTATACCAGTCATTGAGGTGAAGCTTCATACCACGCCTGGCTTGCCTGATGATTCAGCCTTTTCGGTGATCCTTCAGGAGCCCTTGAGATGGTCTCCAAAAGCTCGAACGAGACGAGCTTGATCGATCATCCTCCGGCTTTCACTAATAGAATTTTATCGCCATGTCGGTCGATTAATTCCAGGTTTTCCATTCGCTCATTAAAGACTGGTTGGTGGTTTTTGCATCAAATGTTCGATTTAAGAGATTTATTTGGGAAACCGGTGAAATTATGGTCTGGTATGTTTTTTATGTAGGAGCGTCGTGACGTCCTTTGGATCAGGCTATGCGAAGTCAACGTCGCCCTTAGTGCATAGATTGATTAAAATTACCTATTATACGTTAAAAATTCCACAAAAAGTATGATTCATACTCATCATCCTATCCCACAATTTCTCGTTGACCTCGCTTCGATCCTTCAACAGGGCGGTGCTGCACTTCCTGGATTTCCCTTTCCAACGCGTGCAAATATGCCCCGAGGGCACTGGGGATCGCGCAGCTGTCGGCAAATCCGCATTTTCAGACCATTCCAATGATTTTGAGGGCGTTTTGGACATGGATTCTATTCCTAACTTTCTATATTGTTTATGCAGACGAAAAATGTGACCTTGGTGCTGCTGATGTAAGGATCTGGAATTTTCGGTATTTCTAAGCATAATCAAGAACGCTATGACATTTTTAGAAACGAGAAGATTATTAGGAGTGTTTTCTAACTTAAAAAACTCTATTTTAGCTAATTTTCCTGCTACAATCCCGCTACGACTTGCCGGAGCCCGGTTTCCTCCAGATGAAGGTGTTCATCAAGAATTATATTGCTACGATAGATATGGGCAGGGATACGCAGGTAACTACTAAAAAATACTATCCAGTTGGGGAAAATGAAGAATACCAGAATCGGCGTCATGACTTACGATGGCTTAAACGAACCGGAATACAAAATCCACCTCAGCTCCTACGGTAGAGCCAGTGATGCATCAATTGCCATTGATCAGGTAGAAAATTAAAGCTGTTTTGTAGGTCTATAAGGTTTTCGTGAAAAGATAATAAAAGTATGTGCATCATACTTTCTAAGCAATCGCAAAAAATGCACTAAAAATTTGTATTCAGATTGGCCGAAGTCCTTGCGGGTCCTGGTGCGCCGAAAAAGCTGACTTATCGGTTGCACAGGTAAATTCTATGGTTTTGAAGTATTTGTAATTCATCAGTTTTAGGCTTATTTCAGTTAGTATTTTTACTAGGAAATCTATATAATTTAAAATGCATCTTAGGCAGCCCAAAAAGCCATCGAAATCTTTGGCAAAGAAACGAGCACAGGACGGATGAAGAAAATTGTGGTGATCCGGCACGGGCAGCAAGATCATATGGTAATTAACATACCTTGAAGTTAACTGATTTTGATCCTCTATCCCTTTAGGACAATTTTTTAGCACTCCGAGCAGCTACGAAAACTCACGCAAAGTGACGCCTGGCTCAAGGTTGAGGAAATTTTGGTGCATACTGGTAAGTTTTGAATAACAACACCAAAGCATGCTAGCAGCGATCTTTAGGGAAAACTTGTTTGCAAGCTAGCAGACATTATTTAGGAACTGAGGATATTGTTCTCTTTTAGGAACGATGGCGATGGACGACCCCTACGGCCAATACCTCAACGCGTACTACCAGCCGTATGAACGGTATCTCGGGCGCATGCACCAAATGTTCCCCAATGCTACGTTTCGCGACTTTAGACGCCAATATGATGTCGACGCTTTCAAGCTGCCCTACGACAAAAATGTTGACAATGGGCTGATCACGGTCAAGGAGTAAGTGACTTAGGCTTAGGCTTCGGCCTAGACTTAGGTTAGGCTTAGGCTTAGGCTTGGGCTTAGGCATAGGCTTAGGCTTAGGCTTAGGCTTATGCTTAGGCTTATGCTTAGGCTTTGGCTTAGGCTTAGGCTTAGGCTTATGCTTAGGCTCAGGGCTAGGCTTAGGCTAAGCCCTAGGCCAGGCTTAGGTTTAGACTTATCTTTGCTTGGCGTGGCTAGACCTTACATTACTATGTTTAGCTTCTCGCAACTGGCCGCCCTTGGCCCAGATCTCTGCGCAGAAATTTTCAGCTGCCCACCCTGCGATGGAAATTCCGCTTCAACCTTGAATTCCAGCCCAAATGTATGTATTTTGGCTTGTAGCTATTTCAGCTGTAAATTTAGACCTTCCTGGAAACTAGCAACTCGGGTGATGCAAATAGCAAGGAGACACCGAATGAGTCGTCAGTTCCGAACCGTGGAGGCACAACCTCAACAAAAACCGATGCTAAAAATGGGGACTATGAATATGAGATTGTCGGGGATCCTCCAGGATGTGAGCTATAAGTAAAAAAAGTGTAAATTGAAAAACGGTTTGGAAAGACAAGTCAGAAAATCGTAAAAAAAACCCGTAAAAACTCAGAATCTAGGCTAGTGAGTTCGGCCGGTTCATAAGAGTTTCTTTTTCAAAGTCGGTGGTTTTGCTACATTTTTTAATGCTGTTTGGCGGATGGATGGATGTCTGTTAAGGAATTTTCGATAAAGTCACAGCAGAAAAACATCCTGCAGAACCATACATCCACTTTCAGTAACCATCAACTCCAGCCCCGCCTCCAAGAAACAGAAAAAGGATGCTGTTTCCGCGAATGAGACCCCAGAGTATGAATTGGAAGAGGAAGAAGAGGCAGGGGAACCTGTCGAAACTGAACAGCTTTCTGATGAAGATAACCTGCGAAAGAAGAAGAAAAAGAAACTGGTGAAGAAACACCGCATAAAAAGACAAGCCGTTTTGCGGCAAGATCAATGCGTGTGTCCGAGGGATGGAGGTGCGAATTTGAACATCGAAAAAATGTAGAAAGCGTTCTAAGCATGCTCCAGCCTTAAATAAAAAACAAGCGCTCATTTTTAGCTGGTTCTACGTCAGCAGGTGGTTGTTCTGATGGTCCGAGCAGTCCAGGAGGCGGCTGCGCAAGCACAAATTCGGTATACCCGGGATTGCAGTATAATTATGATCCGGAGGGTGGAGTTGGTAAGTAGGATTTGGCTTCGGCATAGATTTAGGCAAAGCCTAGATTTATAGTTAGGCTCAGGCTTAGGCTTAGGTTTAGGGCTAGGCTCAAGCTTCGGTTTAGGCTTAGGCTTAGGCTTAGACAGGTGTTGGCATAGGCTTAGGTTTGGCTTAGGTTTGGCTGTGGCCTAGGCTTAGGCTTAGATCTTCCCAATTCTTTGAAGCAAATATTCATCCTTTTCCAGGGCCGCCAGCTCCTGCTTCTGCCTGTGGCGGTGCTCCCTGTGCTGCTGCTCAACCGCCCTGCGGCTCGTCTTACTGTGGTTACGGTAGTTACAGTGCGTTTTAGCGTTTATCGCTTTCAGCACTTTTAGCGATTTAATACTAGAAATTATTTTTCAGCTCCTAGCTACCCTTCTCCCTGTGGAGGTTGCCCTAGCCAAACGGCTCAATACTACTCTCCCTGTTCGAATGGGTGTTCTGGAGTTCAGGTGGGTGTTTTTTGATGGTTTTTCGTGTTCGCGCTACCCCTTTAAACCGTCTAACCGGTAGCGATTGATTGATATTTTAATTCATTTAGGTTATTGTCGCTTTTTAGGGCTGGTACTACCCCTACGATCGAAGTCCACTAGCCCCGGGGACTCCAGAAGCTACTGCTTTTAGTGTGGATGAGAAGAAGCCAGAAACCGCACCGAAAACTTTGGCTCCTCTGGACCCACTTCCGGGGATTGGAGCCGAAGCTTCAAGTCGGTTTTTGAGGTCCATTAGCTTGCAATGTTTTGAAATAAAAAAAATTGTTCGTTTCCAAATTCCATTAATTTCAACTAAAGTATTCGGTGAAATTATTAAACCGGCTGGCTGTCAAAAACTTAATATTAGAAACTACTTATGAAGCCATTAGCCCATGCGAAGCTGGTTTCCAAGCTCTAATTGCCTGTAAATTGAGTAGCTTCTCCCACTATTGTTAATTTCATTGTCGTAGTTTTCAGCATCCAGCTCGGAGCTGACCGACACGTTCAACTCCATGTTCAAAAACACGGATACAGATGACGCAAAAACACCGGTGCCAGCAAGTGAAAATAAGGACTCGGATTCGGAAGCAGTCGCTAAATCTGTAGATGAGGTTCGTTTTTTGTAGTATTCCTACTATCAGGTTGGAAAGAAAGTAATGGCACAAAATCTTAGAATCGCTCGAAAAACGCGTAGGAAGGTCCAATTTCAACGTTCGATACATGCTTCGATAGATCTTCGGAGGCTCTACCTTGCAAAAACCCACCTAAAACCCAAAAATTATGGAGGCCAAGATATAGGCCCGAGAAGTTTCAGAGAAAATTAGGTTAAAGCTTCTAAGCGTCGTATCTCTGCATACAGTCATTTGCATACCATATCACTAACACCAATCGATAGCTCTCGTGGTGTAGATATCGATAGATCTTCAGATCATCGAAATCGGACACTGGATGGCCGAGAAATGGGCCCTCCAAAATCAATGCATTTTCTCGATTTTGGTTCGGAAGCTGAAGCAAACGTTGTAGTTTTTGGCTCGCGCAGGCCAAAATGTATGGGATTTCGAGAAAAGTTTTAAGAAGCGGGTCAAATTTTAAGGGGCCCTATCTCGGTCATCCAGTGTCCGATTTTGATGATCTCAACATCCATCGATATTTACTCCTCGAAGGCTATCGATTGGTGTTAAAGATGTCGTATGCAAATGTCTGTATGCAGAGATATCTCGCTTGGAAGCTTTCACCTAATTTTCTGCGAAACTTCTGAGGCCTGTATTTTAATGTACGTTAGTTTTTGGCTCCTTTGAGGGTCGTCTAGTGATAGAGCATCCGAAGATGTGTGTGTGTGTGTGTGTGTGTGTGTGTGTGTGTGTGTGTGTGTGTGTGTGTGTGTGTGTGTGTGTGTGTGTGTGTGTGTGTGTGTGTGTGTGTGTGTGTGTGTGTGTGTGTGTGTGTGT